TAAAACAACAATAACCACAACAACAATAATATGTACATTTTAGGCAAACAGGCTGTCTTTTCCTCTCATTCCAAGTACTATCATCCAGAAAGTAATATTCACAAATCATTTTAGAGAAAAGTTACTGTACAAAGACACAGAAGGTAAAGTTCATAAAAAGACCAGTCAGTACAATTAGACAGACGTTTGCTTGTAGTTCTTCGTATCCAAGACCTTCTTGCCACACATTGAGCAGATGCCTATAAGCACACAAAAAGTGTGTCAATGATTTTAAAATTATTAAAACCTTTTCTCAAAAACACAGTCACTATGTTTTTGTAAGCATTTTTCCCAAGAAATTGTTCAAATAAGCTCTTAGTAACAATCTATCTGTTCTCAGACATGTTCTCAATAGATGCTACAAACTTAGAAGTAATATTGTAACTTCTAGTACAAATTAATAGGTGCAGCCTGTGTGTAATCCTTCCTCTGAAGAAAATAAGCTCTATTTTGAGAGCATTATCATTTACAATACTGCTGGAAGCCTCTCTAATTTGCTGGAATGCCTGAAGAGAGCCAGGAAAGGCTCACTTCTGACCAAAAGGTAGAAATGGTGTACTGTTAATCATTTTAATTCCTGTACACAAACAGGCCTGAGATGGGCAGACAGTAGCACGACTAAGAAAACACAGTCACCAACAAACTGACTGCTAAATGGGGCATTCACAGGTGGGGTGCTTTGGAGAACTGTGGAAGTCCAGAACATGTTTTCATAGAATTAAGGTATTTATAGAGCAGAAGTGAAAAACAATGAACACCAAGAATACTTGACAGTTGCAGTGCTGAACACTGATGTCCCAAAGTACTTTGTCCTAAACTCTATAAGAGTGTCAAGTCAAAAGACCAGAGTACCAAAATGTACGCAAGTTTGGCAGAGGGGTGGGTTGTCTCAATCTTTCCCTCTCCTTTCAAAGCAGAAAGGTGCTAAATCTTTTATTTGGCAGGACCACACCTCAGTTTACACAAACATTCACCTGCAGACAAAAAATGGATCTACTGCTGCTTTCTCCAAATTGTGTCATATACTGACATCATGACTGGACACGTTTCTAGCAGTCCATTAGGGAAGAGAACAGCAGAGAATATGGCACATGATTTACTCTGAAGACCAAAATTCAGCCCACTAAATACTGACTTCAGGTTTAAACTGAGATTAATTAACTTGAGATTGCCTCCCAATTTCAGAGATATGCAAAAGCTGAAGCACTGAGCTGTATGACTGCATTTGCTTCAGGAAATATGCCCTAATGACATCTTTGATGGTCAGAGCTAGAACCTCAGTTTAAAAAGTTCTTAATTTTATGAAGATAACAGGTTCAGCCTGGAAAGATACACAAAGAAAGATCAGATCCTGAAGCCCACTCAAACCAGACATAAATTTTAGAATGAGTACAAGGTTCTACAGTATGGGATTCAGGCAGCTGTCTGGGGAGGACTCAGCAGGCAACATTCCTACAGCAGGCTGCTAAACCACTGACACAGTGACACAGCACATATTTATTGAACAATTAATTTCATAAACAAAGCTTACTACTGGTGAGCTGTAGCTCTACACCTAAAAATCAGTTCACCTTATGTGCTGTAAGAACTCTTCATCATTAAATCATGTAATTGACTTCATGACCCTTTTTTCGATCCAGGAACTTTAGATTAAGTTATTATAAAAATGGGAGAGGAGAGGAGGGATCAGAAAAGGAACTGCAACAAGCAACTGATTTTTAGAAGACTTGGGGTTTTTTGGGATTTTAAGGAAAATCAAACTTGTTAGATGACAGTTCTCTAAGCAATTGCCAAGATTAAATTTCCAAATGTACTGTTTCAGACACCAGAAACATTCCAAAAGAAGCAGAATTACAGAATGACAACGGTTTAGAAGAATCTCCTTCAGTCTGTTGTCATGCCCCACTCAAAACAGCCAACTTGGATAAGAAAGAACAGTCCTGGCTCAGGACTGTTCAAGCCATTCTCTGAATACCTGCTGTAAAGATCCCACAACCTCTGATGGTTCCTGCTACCAGAGTATTTGATCACTCCCAGACTCAAAAATTGCTTTCCTTGTACGTAATTAGAACTTCCCACATTCTAACCTGTGTACATTATTTCTTATTCCATTACTGTGTACCTAAGAGTCTGACTCCATGCTCCCTGTGCCTGCCTAACAGTAGCTGCAGATAGCAATTAAACTTCATCTTAATAAATAAATACAAATTTAAGTGTTGTACTTCTCCTCATAAATACAAATTTAAGTGTTGTACCTCCTCTATTTTCCCAAGCCAAACTGTGGTATTTTGGCACTCAGTGAAACTCACCTTTTTTATAGGCACATCCTTGACAATAGTGGGACCCTGGCTGGTGGACAGAACTCTTACAAATCCGACATATTGCAAATTTGTTCTTTCCATAAGGATCAAACCTGGGAAAAAGGAAAAATATTTTATTTATGCTTCCTGAAATGAAGTCTTTTTTCTGCCTCATCCTAAAAAGTCTAAGCCAGAGGGTGCAATCAGAAACTCCAGCAAAAACTGTAATTTAGAAAAGGGACATACAATAATTATTTCTAATAGGCTACACAAAGTATGCATAAAAGCTCCCACTTTCCCTATTAAGAGACATTTCTTCCATCACAGACAACAACTTCATGAAAGCAGAACTAAAAATGTTTATTTTTATTAAGATACTACATGAATTTGAACTTAAACACCTTCCTTGGCCCCTTGCAAACAGAAAGTCCTGCAGACATGAAGGAAATGCTCAAGAGATTATCCTGGCAATCTTAGCACAGAAAATAAGTATTCCCATCTTCTCTCATACAACAGCACCAAATCCTAGCAATTCCAGGCAGAACTGCAATAAAATACTCTATGACTGAGCAGAAATCAGCCATGAAATATGTATGGATGTATTTTTACCAACAAATCAAATACCATAATCTCTGCAATTTTAATTTATGAAGTGTATTTTGGACAAGTTTGGAGTGGTTGCCCAGCTATGCAGGAAACAGGCCTCAGTTAGTTTGCTAATTGATGTTCTTAGCCAAAATCAGTGTTAAGTACTAACCTTGCCTTCTTTGAGGTCAATGCCTTGTTTTCATTTAATTTACGACCACCACTTTCTACAGAAAAAAAAAATTAATCAATAATCCTGTTCCAGGCACACTTTAAACATCGTCATTTACAACTTTTACACATATGCAAATAAAGTCACAGAGAGAGATAAAAGAGACAAAATATTCATCACAGCATTAGGGGACAGGGTAACAGAACACTTTATGCTCCATTTAAATATTCTATATATTGTTCTCCCATGCAGGAAGGAAAAGAAACAGAAAACAAAACCAGACAAATTCAATACTGAACAGTTCTGGACAAATAAATTCCCAGTGCATTAAATCAGCATGGGAGGGCAAGTACATGACTTAATATTTAACTTGATTAGTAATATAAAGTTTTGGTCTTAAGATGGTAACATAGCTCAGGTGCCCAACTGGTTTTCTAATACCTCAAAACCAAGCTGCTAAACCTTGCTGAGGTTACCTGTAGTGTTTCTTGCACCATCTTTCCATGTATCAGGAGTGATCACTGTTCCAAGCTTCTTCTCACCTACATAAGGAAACATTACAAAGGAAAAAAACTCAGAAGCACAGAGTCAGTTAGGTGGGAAAAGCCCTCTGAATCCATCGAGTCCAACCTGTGACCAATCACCACCATGTAATTGGACCTTGGCACCGAGTGCCATGTCCAGTCTTTCCTGAAGCACCTTCAGGGACAGTGACTCCAGCACCTTCCTGGGCAGCCCATTCCCATGTCTCATCTCCATGACTAGGGAGAACTTCTTCTGAATGTCCAATCTAAACAGCCCCTGGCCCAGTTTAAGGCAATGTCCTCTTGTCCTGTGGCTTGCTGCTGGGCAGAAGATGCCGATCCCCATCTAGCTACAACCTCCTTTCAGGGAGTTTAAAAGCTCAATAAAGCCATCCCTGCCAGACCAAACAACCCCAACACCCTCGGCTGCTCCTCATCAAAACTTGTGCTCCACACCCTTCACCAGCACTGCTGCCTTTCTATGGGCCCGCTCCGCCATCTCAGTGTCCTTTTTGTACTTAGGGGCCCAGAACTGAACACAGCACTGGAGATGCGGCCTCACCAGTGACGAGTACACTGGGGCCACCCCTTCCCCGGTCTTGCTGCTCACGCTATTGCTGATACAGGACAAAATCATTTAAACTATGCACATTAATACGCTCCACAAATGGAGAACAACAGTTCACACAGGGCCCTGCAACCGCCACCCGCGGCCTGCCCTGAGCAGCCCGGGACCTTCCTGGAGCCCATTCCCATGTCTCATCTCCAGGACTTGGAAGAAATTCTTCTGAATGTCCAATCTAAACGTCTCCTGGCCCAGTTCAAGACAATGTCACCTTGTCCTGTGGCTTGTTGCCCGGCAGAAGAGGCCGATCCCCACCTGGCTATAACCTCCTTTCAGGGAGTTGAAGAGGGCGATAAGGCCATCCCTGAGCCTCCATCTCTCCAGACTAAACAACCCCAACACCTTCGGCCGCTCCTCATCAAACTTTATGCTCCAGACCCTTCACCAGCACTGCTGCCCTCCCACGGACCCGCTCCGCCACCTCAGCGTCCTTTTTGTAGTGAGAGCTGAACACAGCACTGGAGATGCGGCCTCACCAGTGCCGAGTACAGCGGGGAAATCCCTTCCCTGGTCCTGCCGCTCACGCTATTGCTGATACAGGACAGAATAATTTAAACTATGCACTTTAATACGCTCACAGGCGGAGAACGAAGAACGACAGCTCACATAGGGCCCTGACAGCAACCGCCACCCGCGGCCTGCCCTGAGCAGCCGGGGATCCACGGCGGCTGCTCCGCTCAGGGCAGCCCTGGATCCCCGCGGGCAGGGCAGGGCCCGCCGGGTCGGGCAGACCCCCCCGTAGCCCCGTACTCACACTTGTCGCACACCATGGCGGCCCCTCCACAGCCGCCGGAGCTTCCGGCACCGCCCCGGAAGCGCCTCCGGCCGGGCCCCGCCGCCTTCCGCAGCCGGGCGGCGCCGCGCGCTCCGCGGTAAGAGGCGGGAGCGGCGCCCGCGGCCGCGCGGGGTTTGGTTTTATTTTGAACAAACGCTGTCTCCTGCCCCAAAATGCTCCCCTTGGCTCCCAGCCCGGCCCGGAGCCCTGCCCTGCGCGCCGCGGCCGGGGAGGATGCGGTCCCGGCGCGGCGGTGACGGGGCGGGGCTCGGTATGTTGCAGGTGCCGCTGCCCGGACGCCATGAGGGAGGCGGAGGTGCGGAGGCTGCTGGCTGCCAACCTGCTCTGCGCCCTGGCCGTCGTCCTGGCCACGCTGGGGCCCGCTTTCCTTCTGGACGGATTCAGCGTGCTGGGAACGCACCTCACGTGGCTGTGTGTCTGTTCTGTTTGTGTTGCTACCCTTAATATAGTCTTGCACTTAGTCCTTAAACCTAATCAGTCTCCTAAGAGACGTTCCTTTGGTCACAAGGTAAGATTTTTTTTATTTTTTTTAAAATTCTTAAGTTGTTACCAGGCAGTTGTTACAGAGGGGAAGCAAATTCTCTGAAGTAATCAAATGAGAAAGAAGACAATTTTTGATTTGTCTCATTTTCCATTAGTGAGTTGAGTGCAGCACCTTTTGAAACAAATTTTTCAGTATTTTCACGATGTTAAACTTTCTCTACCTGTAAATAACCTGTTCAGGTGAGTGATTCTGTGCTTTCCTGTTTCTTGTCAGTGCAGCGTTGTTTGTAGTCCCAAGAATTTGTGTGGTGGCAAAATTAAATGGCTCAAAACTCATTTTGCAGTCCAGGCCTGGCTTATCTTGTAGATAAGTGGATATACCAGGAAAAAATGTCATCACACACTTCTCGTGTGTAGTTGTAAGTTTGTAATAACTTTAAAAGGAAAAAAAAAAAGTCAGAATCTGACACAAAAGAGATGCTATGCTACATTTCAACAACTAAAAAAGCATATAGAAAAGTATTAAAATGTCTGCATTTCCTTGTATGATGAAATTATGAAATTTGCATACAGAAGAATCTAAAGTTGGGAGAAGCTTTTTGTAGTTACACTTTGCAACGGGGAGCATTAAAGATATGAATCCCAATGAAAAACTTTGGAACAGAGTGATTTTGGAGCAGCGCATGACTTACCCAGCAGGGAGGGAATTCCCCAGAGTTTTGAAGTCGGGGTAATAGTCTTCTACTCCTGACTTGCTGAGCCAGGCAAGATGTAATGCTCTGAGGTGGTTTTTAAGCATTTAAGTAATCTTCCCTGCCAGCATATCTTTGTGGGCAAAGCTCCTGTCTAGTTTTGCTGACTGAGGAGGATGTGAAAAGCACAAAACCATGATGGGAAGGAAGCAAGTGTTTTAACCATCTGTGATTTGAAAATGAAGCACACTTCATGTTCTAGGTGAGATTTCATCCCAGGAAATAAATATAGAAAGGAATAAATATAGAAAAATAAGGGTTCAAGGAAAGTTATGGATTTTGCATTGGTGACCTGATCAGAACAGACCTTACCAGAACTGTTTATCAAGTGTTTTTCTTCTACATGATATAGCGAGTACCCAGAAACTCGTTTAAGTTCATTGAATATTATGTGTTTTGCAGACTTATAGAAAGTTATAGATATTTCTCAAATATATTCAGAATTTAAGATGCCAAGTTCAAGAGATGCCATGTAGTTTTAGTTAATGTAATGTTGATTCTTTACCTAGCAGACTTTTTTATATTGTGTGTTTTCTTGCTTTTAAATTTTTTTTCACTTTTTGTGAGAGTTGCCTTTTAATGAATGAATATGACAGTCAGATGTAAAACAGAAGTGTAAAAATGTCCAATAAAATTACTTCTGGTTATCTTGTAATTTCTGGTTATATTTTTTGTGTGTTTGCCCTGTTTAATGGGATGCACAAAAAAATTGTAGGTGGAGTGTGATGTTTTTTAATTATTTATTTAAAGTATTAATATCAGGAAAACTGTTTTGAAATGTGCCATGCTATTATATTGTGCTGCAGCTGAAATGAAAGAAGCAATCTGAGTACAATGCTCTTGATAAGATATAGAGTGTGTGTGTTACTTATGTTCTGGTTTGAAGCATTATTCTGATACCTCATTGCTCTTTTTTAGATATCCAGATTTCTAAAATGCTGTATATACTTTTTCATGTCTTGCATACTGTTTCATGCGATTATTGTTCTTTATGGAGCACCTCTCATAGAGTAAGTCAGAAGACCCTCTCTTTCTCTAAATATTCTAAGGGGCAGCTCTCCTTGCAGGTGTTGGTATAAGTACTTGGGAATTTTCTGGTACACTGGAAGTTAAGGGATCAGCTCCTAGCTGGGGGAAGAAGGGTGGCTGTTTCAGCTTTCTCTTGCGTTTGGGTTGTTTTGGGTTTTTTTTTTTGTTTGCTTGTTCAGTTGGTTTTTTTGGAAGCCAGCTCTTAAATGAAAGTTCTGTAAATAAAAATTGTAACACAGTTACAAACAACTGTTTACTTTAATTTTTATGGTGAACATATGGACACAAACACTTTTTGGAGCTTCATTCAGTCATTTTCCCTATAAGATTCAAACCACACATCTTGCCTATTTTTCATCCTTTTGATATTAGTGTTCTAACTGTTATGAAAGTTTAAAGAAAGAAGTGTGAAGCAACCTGGGTGTTGAGAGATACACTAAGTAGTTTGGCTGACAATAGTTTCGTGTAGCTTGGTTTCATGGTTGCTGTCACAACTGGAAAAATAAATGGAAGAATGGAGTAAGTGTCCTAGCACACTTCAATTTAGAACTAATGATCTATGTGAAGTACACCTGTGGTTTTTTAAAAATTGCTACATCTCACTCTTGAGATAACAGCAGAACTCTTTCCAGCTTCCTTTACTATTCTACGGAGTAAGAAGAAAATATTTCATTCTTTAATAAGAGGTTTAAGAAAGCCCATGTGCTTTCACAAGTTGAGTTAGAGGGGCTTTTTTTTTCCTAAATCTTGGAACTTTTAGAACATTAGCAACCACCTCACTTAATTTTGTAATATTCTTTTTCTTTTTGTAGGTTAGTGACTGAGACATTTTTGTTTGCAGTTCTTCTGTCTACATTTACTACTTTACAATGCTTGTGTTTGCTGGGACCAAACATACAGGCATGGATACGGGTATTTAGTAAAAATGGGTAAGTCCTAATCTAAAGTTTCTGATATTTCTCTGAATAGAAACTGACAGAATTGGTGTAAAAAATATATAATGGAATTTTTGTAAAGAAAAGAAAGCTTCTTGGATGATGGGTGGTTTTTGTATTTGTGGTTACAGACATATGGAAGCTTTTCTGACAAAGAAAGATTTATTTGAAGACACTGATTCAGAAAAACAGCTTTTTATTTTTGGTGCTCAGATGCTAAATCTCACTTTATATGTGTTTGAAGGAAGTAAAGTTTCCAGCACATATTCTACTGAAGTAAAAACATTGTGCAGTTCTGTATGATGGTTATCAGATAAAGGGGAGACCTGACACTGAGCTGTGCATGGGGAATCTTGCACATGATCCAGTAGTACCTTTGTAAATACGACTTTTAAAGTAGGAATAGAAAGTCAACACAAGCACTGTTTTAAACTTGGATATAATGTTGAGAGTTACACAGGACTTACTGTGTTCTTAATTATGTGATATTAACCCATACTCCTTTTTTCAATTTCAAAGAAAGCTGTTTTGAGTGTCACAGTTTTCAAGGATTAATTTTTTCAGGAGTATGTTTAAAGTAAAACAAGTCTTCTAACAGTGTTTTCACCTCCAGTGGTGGCCATGGCATTAGCATGTATCAAGGAGAATGTATTTTTCAGAAGATTTCCATTTCTTCTGCCTTTTGTCATTCCATAAATAATAGCAGGTTGAAAGAATAGGACACTGAGACATAAAGAGGCTTCACATATGTTTGAGATTCAATGAGATTTTAGTATTCATTCCCTTTTAATAGTTTGTAATGGTGAAGTCTCATCTCAGAAGACAGCAAAAGGTTGTATTACACTGCTGACCTATGGAATTATTTTTTGTTTGCACTCTTTAGAGGAGGAGACTTTAATGCTACTTTCAGGTATTACATTTTGGTTTATCTCAGTTCTCAATTTACTGAAAAATATCTTGAATCCTTATTCAAGTCATTTACACTTTTTTTTTAGTGGAAGTGTAAATATACTGTAATAAAAGCAAGGAGTCATTTAGCCAAAATAAATCTTTGCTGATTCACTTGGTCATCTATGGGGGTTTTGCATCTGAAATAACAGCTGAATTGAACAGATGTATGACAATATCAGTCTGTCTTTGTGCCAGGTAGATTTTGAATGCCTGTTGATTTCTTCCTTTCCTAGTCTAGATCTTAATGCAATTTCAGCACAGTCATTGCATTGGAAGCAGTTGTCTTGTTTTGACACTTTTGCTGTGAGGATTTGTCAGTACTTCTTACTAGTGAGCCATGTGACATAATGTGAGAAAAATGTTTATTATTAATGATGTTTGTTCACACTTTTAGTGAATATACACTACAAAGAAATATTGTAGCAGGGTTTTTTGTGGATTGTAGCAAGCTGCTCATTTAAAAATAATCCTGTGTTTTTTCATTTGAAATTGGAACATCTTAGATTTGGGCATGAGATGAGTGTAGACATGATGCATTAAAAGGTTGTCTCTAACTTAACCATGTGGAATGAGGTGGGACTGGTTAAATGAAAGAAAAGGATGGTTAGGTGGAATCAACAGCGCTGCTTTCCTTGAAAGCAGAATTTAGGGAATTGAATTGCACTGGATCAGTTTGCTTGAAAGTCTGATTAGGTGTATAGCTTAGTATGAAAAACAATTGTTGTTAAGTACCTGAGTGCAATTTAGACTTAAGTAACCTTAAGCCTATGTGCACATAGAATGTGTGAGAAAAAGTCTGTATATTCTACATGACAAAGCCTTCCATTCTTAGTTAGCTATAAATAGGGCCCTTTTCACTAATTCTGCCTTCCATTCTTAGTTAGCTATAAATAGGGCCCTTTTCACTAATTCTGCCTTTGGGAAGGGTTGGGCCCACACCAGCATCTCTGGGCTCCTTACTGTGCCATGGGGAGTTGTGACTGATGTCAGGGTCATGGCACTGATCATTCTCTGTCCTGTGCTGCTGTGAGTGGTTACAGGGAAGTGGGAGCTGCAGAAAGGGTTATCAGCATTCGTGGCAGCTTGTGGCTGTTGTTTAAATGCTGTTTCAGTAACTTAGCTGAAATAGCCTCCTGCATAGCAGTCTTTAAGAAACCAGTTTTTGGGGATTTTTTCCTCTCTCTCCTCTTGGAGACTGTTTGTTTCAAATCAGTGCTCTGAGAAATTGTGTTGAAATTATAATAGCAATTATAAGGTGTAATCAGGGTAGAAAAGAGATTTTATTTGGATGTTGCCAAAACATAGTAAAAAACCCATGACATTAGGGCTTCTTCCTGTTTTCATTATGCCTATTTTATCACTTTGTTTGTGAACTATGTACTCTTACAAACATTAAATGCCCCTTGTAAATGTAGGCATTATCACACACCAAGGACTCCTTAGTATTTAGTCTTGCTGCAGCCAAGAATTCCAAATCTTGCCTGTGAAGGAGCGGTCTCAATAGATTATTTTGTCAGCTAATCTCTTAATTCAAACATTATTTGATGTGGAACTGAATGTACTGTGTAACTTAAAGGGGTTAAATGATTACTCTAGGCTTTTAAAGACCTTTCTGCTGCTGGTGTTCGTTTATTATCTTAATCATTGCTACTTTTGTCTGCAGGGTTATCTTAGTTTAAATGAAAGAAATGTGGAAAATGCAACGTTTATAGACATTGCTGCAGTTGTCAGTCTTATGCAAATGAGTTTATGTGATGGTTTAAATAATAGCTTCAAAAATCCCAGTGTCAGTCATTCCAAGAAGAAAAGTGAGTACTTAAGTAATGACTTAAAAAAGTGATTGCTCCTTCAGGATGATGCTGGAGGACAAGTCAGGTTGCCTTTGGGTAGCCAGTCCCTGCTGCAGAGGGGTTCAATTAGCAGCTGAAATAGTTGCCAAACTGCCAATGGCTGTTTTTCACTTGGGCACCGTGCCTTGCTAATTCTGTTGTTTTGCATTTGGAACTCGGTCTGATCTCTCCATATGGTACAGCAGTGTCTGGTGAATCTGCCACACACACAAGATGTCTTGTGAGGTATAACTGTACCTCAGTCAGTCCTTGGTGTATTCTGTTGTCTCTTTTGCTGCTTTAAGGTTGTTGTGAATGTTCTCTTCCTTGTTCTGCCTGACAGCTCCCTTATCAGTTATTCAGCTTCTGAAAATAATTCAAAAGAATTTTCTGTGTACAGACTCCTAAACAGTTACATCAGGACTTTTCCAGTTACATCAGGACTTTTCAGTAAAAGAATCTGTGAACTGGAGTATTTTAAGTTAAAGGGTTCATGTTATTGGAGAAGAAACAGTTCTGCTCAAAATGTCAACCTTGCACTGTCAGTACTGTAGCCTGCAAGACATTTTTTACTGCAAATATTGAAAAATGTTTGCTTTAAACTTGTGAGCAGTTTGGTCAATAGCAAGGGCAGCAGTGTGTACTTGGAAGTAAAGAAATTTTATTCTCTTCAAGTGTTCATGTCATCCAACCTAAACAGCACATGCAAGGTTCAGAGTTTACTGTGCATCTAGTCTTTGAGCTATAAAAATTCTCTTTTTTTTTCCTCCTGTTAGCTGAAGCTAACAGGTGTACATTTATAATCTGAGATGTAGCAAACTTTAAACTCAGCTCTCCTGCTGTACTGATTTGGAGCAGTGATTCTACTAGTCTGGTTCTGCTGTCCTGAAAGTGTGCCCTACTGCATTCTGAACTTTTGTTGCTCTTTTCTTAATTGGTACCAAGTACCCAAATGTTCATGGCCTGAGCAGAGCAATCAGTTGGTGCATCGATGGTAGTAAGCGATCATCTGTTAAACAGAAATCCAGCTTTTCAAAAACTTTTGAACAAATCAGCAGTGGCAGAAGGCTGTAAACTGAGGACTGCAGTAATTTAACATCTCTTATAATGTGTGCCATGACTGGTGGTGTAAGAGTTCTTTAGTGTGCAAAAAATTATCCTGCAGCCAGTGTACTTGAACTTGGATGCACTGCTACCAAAGGACTCCAATGTGCAGTTACATTTATTTGCAGTGTTTCTTTTCAGTTGATGGAAACTTGTTTTGAAATATTCTCATAGTGGACTTCTGTGTTAAATTTTGAATTGTTGTAGTCATCAAATATGCCTATACCACAGAGTCCTTTGTGACTGTGCTTGTGCTTTTCTTTACAGTCCCACAGTACACTTCCATGTCAGCCTCTCCCTGCAATGCACACAGCTATCGAGATAGATTTATTTGTTCAGTCTAGCAGTGTTTCAAAGTAACATAAATTAGCTTTTGCAGTAAACATCTCAAGGAAAAACAAATCCTGAAAGTGTGGTATTAAAAGATTGTAATTATAGATAAATTATACAACTTAGATTTTTACTTCCAGTTTGTATGTTTTAGGAGAAACCTGCATGCTTTTTATCAAATATGTGAATTTTTGTGTCCGTTTGTAGCCTCAAAAATTTGGGGAGAAATCTGATCTAACTCTCTGCCATGGTAACTTCTGCTGTTGTTGAAAACTTCTAACACACTTTTTACAGAGCTATGTCCATATGGGAAAGCAGTCTACAGATTACTTCTGTGTGCAGTATACTTGGAGCTTGGTTTGGAGCATTTCCTATTCCTCTTGACTGGGATCGGCCTTGGCAGGTTGGTATCTGCACCCTTACCATAAAGGTACAAAATATTAATTTTCTGGAGAGGCACACTACACAAAATTGCTCTCAAGCTGTTCAGGTGTATTGTACTTGGTCATAAGCTGCTCCTACAGAGTTATGCCAAACTTTTAACAGCTCTTTGGAAACATCTGTGCTTAGGGTGTAAGGAAGTAAAATGCATTATTTTTGCTTCCAGTTAAATAGGTTCTTTATTACATGCTTGCAATTTGTCTGTTGCATGCAAATTTTATAATGGAATAGAGCTCTAATGATTTGGATAAGAAGAAGCTAGACAAGCTGGAGGAGAAATGGGAGATGATGAAGATGGCTTCAAGTTTGCCTTCAGTCTAGTAGCTTTTATTGTTCACAGGTAGAGAAAGAAATGCTTTCCTGGTTTTAGCTCCCCCCTGTGTTCCATAAAAGCACTTAACAGAAGGTATTTTAAATGGATTTAGATCAGTTTGTGGAAATGGTGTAGCCACAGCACTGTACTAAACACGTGTGATTTCAAAGGAAGGCAAACATTAGCTTTTTAGTTGAAGAAGAAGAAATGTGAAGCTGGCATTGCAATTCTATCTTTATGAATTCCAATGTTTATGCTAATTTCTTACTATGTTTTTTGGCATGGAGAAGTGATTCAATTAAACATAACTGAAGTCTGCAATTGCCATAAAATGATGGCACTAGTAACAGCTTCTTCCTACATGTGCTCAGTGTTTCGTAACTTCGTCTGGTTACCAAACTCATTCACTCTTGGCTGAGTAGTGTCTACCAGGCCTGTTCTTCAGCAGATGGTTTCAGAGGTTTCTTCCAGAAATCAGTGTAACAGGCAGCACACTTTCCACTGTGATATTGTAGGGATGCTGTAGCTTGCAGCTGCACTTAAAGTTTATCTTCTGTGAGTAGCTCACAGCCTTTATGCCATTAGTCTTTCATTGCAGTAATGTAGTTAGACAGTACAATTTGTATTTCAAAAATAATGAAGGAGTAAGTTAATATTTAAAGCAAAATATTTTCTTCCCTGAAGACACTTGATTTATTCTTGCTAGATATTTAACCATCAATCTGGCATATGTATGTGTTGACATTAATTAATTGTTGACAGACATGAATGTAACCCAAAAATCAAGGAATTCACTGAAATGCAATCTCCTTCCAAGTCTTTCTCACTTCCCTGTGCTGATGAGAGGCGCTTACTTTTTCCTTAATCAGATGGGATTTTAAAATAGCATGTCTCATCTGGCAGGTGTTGTTTTATTCCCAAAAATCTCAGACTTTGCTAATGTGCTGTGTATAAAACCTCCACCTTTTATGCACCAATCATATGAGGAAAACTTAGGTCAAGGGGCTCTGAGTAACAAAACAAAGACACTAGTAGCTGAAGACAGGTACTTTAGGTTGAGTTAGTTTTTAGCTTTTGGTCCATTCCCACATGTTCCAATAGTGGGAGACACAAGTTTGATAATGGTATGAAAACTTTTGCTGTTTGAAAAGTCTTCCAAGTTAATAAAAGACAAACGTGACTGAAAATTTAGCTCTATAATCTACACTTAAACATCTGAAATTATACTAAACGACTCCTCAGAACAGCAAAGCATCTGCAGAAACTTCAGATACTCAGACTTGTCACTGGCTGTTTCTGGGTGTGAATACTCCCCAGTGCTCCCTGTATGTCTGCAATTTCCTTTTTCCTTCACTCTCTCCACCCTCATTTCTGACATACTCCTGATACCAAAGTTAGCAGGGGAGACTTTATGACTCAAGTTCGACATCAAAGATCTTTTGCCTAGATCTAGAGCATTTGCTGCTGTTCTTTCCCTTCCCCTCATTTTTCCCATCCTCACTTCTCCATCTTACACATTATAGAGTTTTGAATAGTGGGATGGGGGAAGAAATTTTTTGTTCCACTTTGAGTCTGACCTGCTTGATCTTTAATGATGTGGGCAGTTCAAGAGCAGCCATAGAGTGTTTGCTTATCAGTCCTGCAGGCTGCCACTCCAGCAGTCTGAAACTGCAGTTTTAAAGGCTGAGTTTTTGAGATCTGCTGTATTAGGGGAGATGAAAGAAGTTCTTGTTAAAATGTAATGTAGTTTTTTCAAGTCCAGTTGTTTCAGCCAGAGCAACACAGTGAAGCACCAAAATTGTAACAGGTCTTCAGGGCAGAAATCAACCTCTTTAAAATAGCTTGTCAAGGATCCTGCTCACAACTCTCGGAAGTTTTCAGTGACCTATTAATAATCTAATATTTTTGTGAAGGTTATCTCTTAAATATTGGTCACTAAACCATAGAAGTGGGGGCAGGGTCCTGCCTAGGCATTTTCAGTATTTGCCCAGAAAACACTGCTTCCCAGCTTGCCCAGCTCAGGCAAGAGATATATTGTAAATCGGGTTCTGGGGAAACACAAATTCATGCAACAGCTGATGTCTTTTGTCTTTCTCTTCCTGCTGGGTTCAGCAACCCAGGTATTGCATGTAGTAGCTGCATAGCTGTCTCAGAAATCTTCAGAACCAGGAGACTTTTGTGTTCTTCAGAAGTTCACTGGGCACTGGCACAAAGCCCCTTTTTGCAAGAGTATTCCTTTTGCTACCTGATGTCAGGTGATTACAGAAACTCATAGTGAATTCTTTCACTATAACAATAAAAGAGGAAAAGTGCTTTCTGTGTTGTCTTCAATCTCTTACAGGGGAAAGAGGAAAGACCCTCATAAAAGAGTCTGCTGATTTTGCAGATAACTATTTACTTTGTGAAGATGATCTTTAGTGCTGATTGCCCCTGAGTGACCTAACCACTTACTGAACATAAAAATACCTGCACATAATGCAGCTGCAGGATTAATAATAATAATATTTTTTAATCTCCCCCAAATACAAGGACTAATGTTTTGCATAGAACTCCACAGAACTTCAGCTGGAATGTTTAAGGGAGCACCTACAGATTAAGTCCCAAGCTAGGTCTGAAAGAAATGTAGACCTTAATGTGACTTAGAAGTAATCAGAACCCAGTCAAAACCAAATTACTCCTAGACATCTGCATGAGGAAAGTATTAAGCTGTTGTGCTTCTGACAGCTGCTTCTCGTATTAGCCTAAAAACAGAGAGCTTGAGGATTACAGTTTTGGATTTACCCTTTTCCTGTCCAAAAATGGACTCAAATGGAGCAGCTTAGTCTTTGAACTCAAGACCAGTTTCTGAGATAAAAAGAGGTTTCATTAGTGATTGTTTTCCTTTTTGTATTTTAGCCTTTGTGGTGTAAACAATTGGTTTTTTGATCTGTAGTGGAAGTGGTTCTGCTTTAAAGCAGAAAATGTGGTTTAAATCTTTTTCGTTGGGGAAGACTAAAGTGGTATTATTATTTTAGAGAGCAGTGTTAAGGCCTTTAAGCCTGCTTATTGCAAAATCTGGTTCTGACGTTTGTATTGATTGTTGTTAGTATTTGTGGTGTAACAACATGCAATAGAAACACAGCTGCATTGCTACCTGTAACTTCAGACAATTCATTATTGGCAGATTGTCACAGAAAAATGGAGGTTGGTACTACAAGAACTGGATGGATCAGCAATAATTGAGAAATATCACTTGATAAAGCAAACCAGAGGGGTTTTGTTTTTGCCCTTTGGCTCTGTTGGTAGCCCTGGAAAGTCAAAAGTTGTCAAAACCACAAAATATCCAGCTGGTACAGAAATGTGGGATAAAAAATGCTATTGACTTAGCTTTGTTACAGCAACATAATATGAAACAAGCTATACAGAAAAATTCCCTGTCTCTTGAATTGGCATATTTTTCCACTTAATTGGAATTTAGCACTTAATCAATTCTGGTGTCTGCAGTCAACTTTTAAATTGAAAAATCATTCACAAATGGGGGAATGTAAAGCTGCTTCTGTGAAGTCTGGTTTGTTGATAGAAAGGTCTTCAAATGGAAGTGGTCTGTAGTGACTCACCTAAAGCAAACAAGAGGTTGGAGGCAGTTGGAGAATGCTGGAATCCCAGCAGAGTATTAAATAAAGCTGTCTGCACTATTCTGTAAGATACTTACCTGAATTGCCACGCTCACACCTACCACAGTTCTTCTGCTTTGGGTCCTTCAAAGAAAAAGCAACACTGGTTTCATTTTTTGCTACTGTTTCCCTGCCCTTGGCAGTCTGTCCTGAGTCTGTCATATGTTCCTGCAAACTTCGTAGAAGAACTGGAAAATTATCTGGTAGTCATTGCTTTACATTGTGGTTGAGATGTATCAATAGAAGTTGTACTTCTGTACTATTACCTGGGTCTTACCTGGTCAGAAAAATCAGATGTCAGCGTCCTTTGTCTTTCACAAGAATTTGTTTTTACTTCCAAGTACTTCAGGGTTCTGGGGAGTAAACCTGATGATGAATTTCATAAGAAGAATTCCAATTGATCTGCTAATGACTAAAGCCCAAATGCTACTTCATCCTTAGTTATTTACAAAGCAAAGGAAACATGTTGCTTCTTTATAGGTGCATCTTGTGACATGCAACAAAACTGAGATAAATACAGATGTCTCAGAAAATTTCACTTTATTTTCCATGTTTATGTTTGAAAAATATTGCATACCGGGGATATTCAGATTAGTGTGCCTCTCTACCCTTAAAAATAATAATGTTAATTGCATTTTTTAAGCATACAACAACTTCTATGCTAAGTAAATATTACTTAACAGGAACAGAATATTGTTTCAGAAATAAACTAACATTAATTTTCTGAATAATGTTTGAGAATGGAGATGAAAAAAATATAAAGCATTTCTGTTAGAACTATAAAATATATTGTTGAAAGTCAGTTTGCGTGTCCTATGATTTGGTTTTTTTTTCATTATTTTGTTGTTTTTAAAGCATTTTTTAAGCATGCCATATATGTTACTCCTCTGCTAGCTTTAAGAAAAATTTTGTAACTATGCAAAACAGTTGGTCAGGGATGCCTAGTCTGTTGTTATTCCTGCTTGTAGGTCTAGAATTCAGCTTATCTCAGACAAA